CCACGACCCAAAAATTGCTCCAGTGAGTTATTTTTCGTTTCTCGTTCCCTTTGATTTTTCTACCATTGTACTCTTAATCTTTTTTTTGTGCAGGTCAACCGAAGAGAACCGTCGACTGCGAGAGAGGAACGACGGAGCCGTCGCACTGGAAGACTCCTCCGCCGGTAATGCCTCGGAGTTTTCCTTTTTTGGCCAACAAAAGCCGTCTAACCCCATTTTTTATAGGTTTTCGTGCAAAATTGGACAAAACTAGCAAAAAACGGCCAAACTGAGAGGAGAATTGTCGTGGGCGACGGAGTCAGCGCTGGAGCAAGGCGGCGCCCCCGTGCTGGAACCCAAAATCGGTCGAAAAAATTAAAAATGCTTATTTTTGATCTTTTTGAGGTATTTTAAAATACGTGACGCGTGTTTTTTATTTCTGCAGAAAAAATTCAGGAAACTTGAGAACTGCTAGGAAGCGCTGAAAGAGGTAGTGTTTCAAACACTGATCTGGAGTAAGAATATTTCATTCTTTTCTCCCGTTACGGTAAAATAAAGTTTAATAATTAATAACAGTGTATTTTTGTAAAAATTAGAAACTCCTGATTAATTAAATACAGATCACCAGTGGGGTCGGTAACTAATCAGTATGTAATTGCTCTAGCTGTGTTGCTTGTTTATTCCTATACTACTTAAATTGCTATTATTTATTAAATTTAATTGCTCTCTCACTTATTAATTGTTTAACTGTTATTTTCATCTATTGATTGATTTGAAGTAAACATTTTAGTCTTATTTTCTTAATTGTTCATATTGTCTGTTTACATGTCTTACTATCGATATGTAAATATGAAATGATTGTGTGTAATTTGTGGCAAGTTAATAACGTGAATATGTGCATAAAAAACTTATCATGTATCATGAGAAAAGGTGTACAGACCCAGTACATAGGGTAAACCCTACCGTGGACATTATCTCAGTTGAACGAGGTTGAGAAATCTCATACCAAAAGGGGTTGGGAGGTATAGTTCACTCTCATACCATACGGGCTATTGAGACGGTGGTACGTTTGGCGCCCATTACCGGACGGGGTATGAGAACGGCTGGTTAATTGATAAATTAAATATTGAGTCCACGCATAAAGGGAATCCATATGCACCATCAGAGGTACTGGTAAGTAGGTAAAATGTAACATTTACTATTATTGTAATACCCAGAATTAATTTTAATATATTTAAAGTTAATGTATAAATATAAGTTTTAAATTTTTGAATTTTTATTTAATGTAAAAATGAAGAAAAATAGGTGGAGCATGAAATTGAAAATAATTTCGGGAAAAAGGGGATAAAAATTTAGTTTTTGGGGGTATTTTTTTTAAAAAAATCGAAAACTAGGAAGTCAAAATACAATTTAAGAAAAATATGTCACGTAGGATGCTCAGTCAACAGCCCCGACGAACTGGAGCGCACCACGTGGCAAGGCACGCTTGTGCAGTGCCACGCGAAAGGCCATACTAGCAATCCGCGTGACCACGATCGGACAATCCGAATTTATTCTCGCGCGTGTGGATGGTCCGGATCCGTTCTCTCTTTAAATGCGATCGTATGGCTCAAATCAAATCGTGATGAACGATCTAGATTCACTTCCTATTTAAACGCGATCAGACGGTTCAAATAAAATCGCAATAAATGGTCTAGATTCACTTTCTATTTAAATGCAATCGGACAATCCAAATCCTACGCGATAGACAGTCAAATTAAAAGGAGACTAATATAAATACCTCACTTTATACTAAACCCTAACCTTAGCCGCCAGACCCCCCACCGAAAAAGAAGAACCTGTTGTCGAGAAGGGAACCGATTGCGGCCCGCTGCCGTGCCGGAGCCACCTCCGACCGCTAAAAAAGATAAAAAATTTCTCATTCGCTCGAAATTCGATTTTGAACACCCTCATGGCCAAATTAGTGCAAAAGGATCGCCAGATGAGCGAAAAATCGCAGGTAAAGCCCGGTGGTACCGTCACGAGAAAAATCAAAAATCGCATCCGATGAGGTCCTTTCCGATTCCCGTTTCGTGTAATTTTTTTCACAATTGTATTTAAAATTTTATTTCCCACATGTTGACCGAAGAAAAATGCCCAACCGCGAAGGTGAGCCGGCAGAGCCGCCGTACCAGAAAACTCCACTGCCGGTAAGCTTCTTTTTTTTATTTTTTTTGGCAAACCGAGACCCCTTAACG